TGTATAAGATGCAGTTGCAGCCCTCAGTCAGAGATTATGATCAACAAATTCTGGCTCATTGACAGCCAGCTCTTCTGTCTGGACACTAGGGAGAAATAGAAACTCAGTAGATTTCCCTACCCCAGTAGTCCCTCTCTAGTTCTTTCCTGTGACCACCTTGCCTCTGCCTCATACTGAATTCATGACAAATTGCCGTCTGGAAGAGGGTGAAAAGAAAGTGACACTTCTTTGATTTTTTTTTCCTTTGGATGCAAGGTTATAAACACATTGGAAATAGTCGTATCCCCTTTGAACACCAGCTGTGGAGGGATCACGCAGAGCAGATCACTCCATGGGCCACCAGGCGCCTTCCCGTGACTGCATCTGGCCGGAGCCTCTCAGTGTGATGCTGCACGATCCATCCTCAGCTTTCTTTCCCATTGGCGTATGTCAGCTGTGGTTGGTCCTGTAAGTCTTGCCAAGAAGTAGTTGCAAAACACGAGGCATGTTTATCTTATCTCTTGGTAGAAAAAAAATCAATCCAGTGCTTTTTGGAGAAACCTCATCTTTCCTGCAATCAGGGAGGCGAACAGTTTAGTCCATGTCTTTTTATTTCCTCTACCCAAACATTCCTGTGTCTGCCTTCTGACATTCTCTTCAGTGAATGTCAGAAGCCCATGTTTGAAAGGAAAGAGTTGGAGATTTTTACTTTAGATAAAGTAAGAGGCTGCCATCCCAAACACTCCTCCCCCTTCTTAAGTGTCTCTGATACCTGAGCAGCACAGATTCATCCAAGCAGGGTTCCCAGGAGAGGCGACCTGGAGGGGGGGCGGGTAAAAACCCAGCTGACAACCACAGCCCAATAATGCAAATGTCAATCCATGAGACACAGTCAGAGGCATTTCACCCATCTCGATAACCCAAGGAACCAATGCATTAAGTATTTTAAGTCAACCTTCCTTGCGTCTATTTATTCTTGTGATGGGTATTAAATTGACTATGGTTCTCATTCATTCTGTATTTATTGAATGCCAACTAGATGTTCAGCACACTCGTAGAGGCTATAATTTTTCAAAACCGGTACACTTGATGAGCTGATCGTGGATCAAAGAGGCTGGTGGAGTGAGATAAGGCAGGAGGACGTCATGGCTGCCTGCATCCCACTCTAGGTGGAGAGGGAGGGTTATCATCTGACCAAGACGAGTAGGCAGTTTGGAACATCACGGCAAGCTCCTCGGGGGACTTTCTCCTTTTTCAGGTTTGACTTTTAAATAAATAAATCCTGAACCAAAACAGGTCTCCCATTCAAATTGCAGTGATATTGCCCGACTGGTATTCCCGGCTCTCGTTCACACCATACAAAATATACGTATAATGCAAATTCTCATTTATATAGCTTCATTCCTCCTCGTCTCCTTGGAGAGTATACATTTCCTGGTAGCTCGACTGCCAACTTGAGTTTCCAATCATTATTTTAATGTATGACACTGGGCCTTCCGTTCTTTATCCATTCCCTCTAGCATAGATCGCATGCCCCCCAGCAACATCCCGCCCCCTGCCCCACCCCCAGCTGCTATCTTCATCCTTCCTTTGCAAGTGGGTAGGGGGTTCCTTCTTCACTCATACACTTCTATCCTGTAAGTTTTGCAGGTCTGAGTTAGGGACTTTGAATGTGGGATCATTAAAAGTCCAAAAGAACCTTCCCACCCCAAAGCCCCTTTCAATTCTTCACAGCACAGTCAAGATTCCTACTAAGTCACGTGGTCCTTAACAACCCCCCACTTCCCTAACAGCCACATATCCTGCCTCACCTCTCAGACTCCTTTAACCAACTCCATCTCTCCTTAAGAGGCACAGGTAAATGTCCTTTCTTTCTGGACTCCATATATTAACACAGATCTGAGTTCATAAATTACTTGAGTCACTGATTCAGTTAGAAGGTATCTGGTTGTAAGCAACAGAAAACTCATCTGTCAATGGCCTAAAGTACAAGAACATTTCTTATCTATTAGCAAGAAGTCCCGGAACAGATGGCCTCCAGCTTAGTTCACTGATGGCCCCAGGCTCCACCATGATATCAAAGACCCAAGGTCAATCTTCCCCATCTTGCCCACCTCATGGTGTGGGGGTGCTCCTCAGCGTGATCACATAATCCCATAGGAGTTCTAAGCAAGGGGTCTTCATATAACAGTACCCAAGGTGTAAGCATCCCCTTTTTTCTCCTGTAAGAAAAAAAATGGTTGCCCAAAGCCCTCTTTCTGTCCTGCATACTTTGCTGACATTCTATTGACTTGAAAGGATTCGCAGCCCAAGCCTAGAGAGATTCATGGGCAAGTAACAGTTGCTGTAATTGACTTAGATAAATTAAGACTGATTCCTGGCACATTGCCAATGCCTCTGCCGGAAAATTGGGATTCTCTTAGCAAACTCAAAGAAGAAATGGTGGTTGGGAGCCAAAGTAATGTGTTTGTCCCAGATACTCTCAAGAAATTTTCTAAATACATCAGGATCCAACAAAAATCTAATATCTAACTTGGGGAATTCATTTGCACTCTTCACCATCACCTCTCTGTGGAAGACTAGGGCAGTTAGCCAAGTCTTGCTAACTCTACCCATCTCCTACACCATTCTCCACCCCTGCTTTTTACCCCTATCCTGTAAGCAGAATTTGTAAAATAAGATACTCATTATAATTTTTAAATACAACAAGAAGATAATATCAATAGGAATTTATTCAATGAAATTAGGGAAGAACTGACATCATTCTAACTGAGGATCTGTTTACCTGGTCATCCTAATTTGAATGTAACAGGTGCTCTGGTGTGAATGCGTGCTTCCATATCTACGCCAGCTAAATGCATTAGTGTGTTGACAGAGATTGGCCAAGTTTCTCTAGTTGCAAGAGTACCGTGTCTTGCACCACAAGAAGGAATATATCTGGGGGAGAGGTGGTCACTCCAGATCCTACTGGATCACTGGGAAGGCAACAACAGTGCCTAGGGCAGGTCAGGAAAATCTTCAAGGAGAAGGTCAAGTAGGAATTCACAAGGGTGAGGTCAAAGGGCATCCAACCATTGGTTGAGGCACAAGGGCACAAAAGCATGAAGAACATGGCAGATTCAGAGACAGAATTAGCCAAAGTATGTGGGCATCAGATAGGGGAAAGAGGACCAGGGAGGAGGCCAAGAATGTGGACAGAGGGCAGATTCTGATGGATCTTGGAATTCTGTCCTAGTCCGTTTATGCTGCTATAACAGAACACCTGAGACTGGGAACCTAAAACAAACAAACAAAAAAAACCCCAGAAACTTATTTATTATTGTTCTGGAGGATGCAAAGTTCAAGATCAAGGCATCAGCCACTGGTGAGGGCCTTCCTTCTGTGTCCTTCCATGTTAAAAGATAGAAGGGCAAACGAGGGAAACATCATGTCCTCGGTTGGCAGAAGGGAGAGAAGTCATTCCCACAAGCCCTTTTATAACAACATCAATCCATTCATGAGGGTCCCAAAAGGTCCCACCTCCTACACTGATGCACTGGAGATTAAGTGTCCATCATTTGAAGTTTTGAGAGGACAAAAGCATTCAAATTAAAGCATATTCCAACTTTGAACTTTAAATCACTAAGGATTGGAATAAGGAAGGATTCATGAGAAAGGAAGGGCCATAGTTAGACTTGGTTGTCACCCTTGTTCTTGACTGTGACCATCACTTTGCAGGCCCCAGGTATAGGGGACCTTCTGAGACCTGAAGAATGTGTAGCACTCTGTATAGTCCATACTGTTTCCTGGCAAAGCCTCCTGTGCTTATTATATCATCGTAAATATGACAGGCTGAAGCCAGCCAGCCTAAATTCTTTCTACCTGGGAATTCGTTGGCCTTCCTGGTTTAATTTTAAAACAAAACGAAAAAACTTAATAGCAAAGCTGTTAAACATGGCTAGCTAGAATCATGCATAAAATCAATAAATTGTAATCCTTTGTAAGTAACATATCCCTTCTGTGCTGACTTGAAGGAGAGCCAGTGAGAGGCTGTGGATACACTATTAGGCTAATGATTAAAAAAAAAAAAAAAAAAAGGTACAGGGAAATGGCTATTCCTGTGAGGATGGCTATAGAATTACAAAAGTCTGTTGAAAAGTGGACCATTAGATGAGTGGGGTTAGCAAATCTGGAGACGTGGGAGTTTTCTTTTTTCAACAACAGAACAAATGGGACTGAGTACTACATTGACTCACCAGGTAATAATGAATAATCTCATTTAGGGTATCTTTTCCATGGGGATGGCAGAATGGCGATCATGGGGACACTTAGCCCTCTGCACCTGTGGCAATGCCTCTAATCCATCCCAGCTCTTCCTGCTGATCCCAACACAACCCTGGATTTTTTTTTTTTTAAATCACACTGTCCAATCAACTGTGGTCTTGAATGAGCACTGAAGCTAACTGCTCCCTCTGACCTGGACAACTCCCGTGGTGTGAAATCTGCTGGTTCTCTTGAAGTTATAGGATTTTTTTTAAAGGGCAGCTTCATAGAGTCCCAGAATCTAAAATGAGTGGCAATTCCATGGGACTCCTTGCACACATGGTCCCATAACTGTAGCAGCCACAGTTGGGGTGTGCAGTAACAGATATGGCCTCCTTTGGAGGTGGACATCATTGATGAATAAAGGCCATATCTGTTTATGGTTTGATTCCTTTGACTTTTGTATGTGCCTGAAATGTTTCCATAATTCAAAGTTAAAGATAAATCGTTAGATTGCCACCCAGTGGTCTCAACTGGGGGAGCCAGCCGGACTCAGACTTCACCTGCAGTGGATTCTCCCAGAGAAGAGCCTGCCAGGAGCTATTCAACTCTTCCCTTCTGTACTAACTGTGGCATTCAAGTTGTGTGAGGAGCCACAGAGATGACACAGTGCCCCCAGAGGTGAGGCAGCCTTGCCACATAGGATTTATGCTGCCAGTGGCATCTGGACAAAGGCCAATGCGTTCACTTCTTAACTTTTTGCAGAAAAGCTCAACCTGCCTTTTTCTGTTTGTCCTCACTACTGTCACAGTGCAGAGAGCTGAGCGGTGGAGTCAGAGACGTTTTTCTTCAATTTCAGCTTTGCAAAGAGGACTCGTGGGGCCTTGCTTTGAAACTGTCCCAGCTGTTTTCTCCATCTGTAAAAGGTGGACAGTGCGAGAGAGAGGGTTCTTAGTCACTACTGATAATACCTAATTGTACTGGTGGAGGCCGAAAAGAACCTTATTAAAGGATATCAGCTGCTTCTTGGAATCTTCCTAGATGTGCATAAAAGATGCAGGTTTGGAGGCAGAGAGCACCTTTCCCAAATGGCACTGCCAGACTGTCTCACCACTGGAACCTGCAAACCTCTGGCCACCCTCTCCAGGACTGATTGTGGATGGCACTTCCTTCTTCATGTCATTGACATCTAAATGAAATGGAGGTGTTTCAGATCCACTGAGCCCAGGCCTGGTGCCAGTACCTGCATGCATGGGAGGAAGGAAGGAATCCAAGGAAGTGTGTTCTGCTGTCTAACTTTGGAGTAGGTGGACACCCAGGGTGAGAGAGGTCCAAACACAAAAGTGGTGTTCAAAGGTGCAGATGACCCAGCACAGCAAGCACCTGGACATGTTCCCAGAGTCTTTGTGAAGACTCTGTGCCCCTTCAGAGAACTGGGTAAATTTGGCCCAAACACACCTTCCAAACCCTATGTCTAAAGGCTTTCTAATTCTTTCTGTGAAGCCCTATATCTTACCTCCTTGAGTTCCCTCATTTGCCACATTCCTACATGCTCAACTGTCTTCTTTGTTCCTATCATAAAACTGCTGGGTGCAGCAGGGCATGCCTAGAATGTCAGAAGCTTGGGAGGCTGAGGCAGGAGGATTCTAAGTTCAAGGCCAGCCTCAGCAACTTAGGGAGACTCTCAGCATGTAAGAAAATCCTCAAAAAAATAAATAAATAAAAATAAATAAATAAAAAGCACTAGAGATGCTGGGCACAGTGGCACACACCTGTAATCCCAGAAACTCAGGAGGTCGAGGTGGGAGGATCATGAGTTCAAAGCCAGCCTCAGCAAAAGTGAACACTAAGCAACTGAGACCCTGTCACTAAATAAAATACAAAATAGTGCTGGGATGTGGCTCAGTGGTCGAGTGCCCCTGAGTTCAATTCTCGATACCGCCCCCCACTCCCCCCCCCAAAAAAAAAACCACTGGAGATGTACCTCAGTGGTAAAGTGCCACTGGGTTCAATCACCTGTACAATCAATCAATCAATCAATCAATAAAATAACAAGACTGTTACAGCACTTTGCCTTCACAATTTTGAAACAAAAGGAAAAGCAGGAATCTACACACATGTAGTGCTTTAAGATTTAGTTAGAATTTTTCTGAATGTTTCGGGGTTATGGGAAGGGGCCTTCTGTGCTTTTGTGTATTCTCTCTCTTTCTCTCTCATTTGCCCTTCTTCCCCCATTTCCTACAGAAAAGTTCTGCCCCTGTCCCCTCCCATTTCTGGGGAGTTCAGGGCTCTACCTTCTAACCCAGATATTTTTCTAGCTGTAATTGCTAGAAAAATAAAATAAACACAAAAAAAATAAACACAACTCTCTTTCTAGGGGGAATTTAATTTTCCTCATACCACTGAAGAGGACAACTGTAAGGGCTCATTTAAGTAATTATTATAAAGTATATTTAGCCCTTTCTATGTTATTATAAGAAACTTCATTATGTTCACTCAGTGAACAGAGAAGACATAGTTGTGAAAACAGCTTTTTTTTTTTTTTTTTTTTTTTTGGAGATTGAAGCCAGGAATACTTTACAACTGAGCTACATCCCCAGCTCTTTTTTTTTTTTTTTTTTTTTTTTTTGAGTCTTGGTTGCAAGGAGTTGGTGAGGAGCTTCAGGTTCCCGACTCTCCATTAACCCGTGAGATGTATGTGATATTTAGCAACTCAGGGGTGACTCTTTCCAACTCAGCAAGAAAGAGGAGGCTCTTTGTTTAGGGTGAACGTGAACAGAACTCTTTGTTCTTAGATCAAGGAACACAGAACATTTCTAACGCAACTTTGTTCACCTTACTCTGAATGAAGAGGAAATGAAGTCCAGCTAGCAAGTTCTACCTGGCATCTTACGCAAACTGCGTCTCCAAGCCCTCCAGTGCATGGTGCATGGTGCGTGGGATCTCACAGGTGCCAGGCTTGTTTTGCAAGACCTTCTGGTTTCTTCCATGTACTTGACCTTCTCACTAATAAAGCTATGACCCAGTTTCAACTCTTTCAAAAGCAATTTCTCTCTGGAAGCCTCTCTTCCTCACTGCTACCAAAACACGGTGAGGATTACAGTAAGAGGGAGACTTGGTTTTAATCTTTAAAAGAATTTGCTACAGACCCTTTCCTGCCTCGCTTGCCCCAATCCTAAACCTTGCCCTGTCATCCTAACAAGTGTTCTTAATCCTATAGAGAAGCTGTCAGCACTGCCCCCATTATTAGCCGAAGAGCAAACAAGGCAGGAAGGCTTGGACCAGACTATCAGGGAGGACTGAGAATGCAGTGCTTGGGGGATGATGCTGGATCACTGTCACTGGGCAATCCTCTTCTCTAAAAAAAAAAAAAAGCAAGTGATTATTAAAAATGTTCTTTAATTGCTTTTGTCATAGTCAAAGATTTTTGAAACTCAGCACTTAAAGCCATCCCTTTCTTGCATGACCCTTCCTCCTGAAACTTACCATCTTTCCGACTTAATTTTTTTTTTTTTTTAATAAGAGGGAGGTGGTTTCTGCTATGTCCTGAGAGTAATTCTGAGTCAGTTCATAGCCTGGCTGTCTTGTCTGCTCTGCGGCAAACCAGCCTACCCACCAGGGCTCAGGGAGACAGCTTCAGAACCAATTGTCACACTGTACCAGCCACCACCAATGGCCTTAGCCAACTCCAAGCTGGCAGCAAAATTCAAAGAAGCTTTTCATTTTCAGATGAGCTCCCACGTGTTCTCATTGCCCCGTGCTTTCCTGGGGGAAACCACCAAGACCTAGGGCCCAGGACTCCGGAACTAGAGGGGGCTGAGCCTTGTCCAACCTCAGCCTGCCCAACAGAGAGCACACCTGCCACCCTGCAGTCCCCAGGGTCCCTGAAATGTGTATCAGCCTCTGGTAAGTGATGAGTTTCTGAGAGGTTACAGGATCTCTGGTTCATAACTCACATTCCATTTGCCCTTCATCAACTTTAGACTGTTACATGCTTTTGTATTGATTTATATAAAGCCAGGGAGTTGGCTAGAAGTTCAGATCACTAAAGTAGTGCCCTGCTATTTATGCCTAGGGAACCTGGGAAGAGCATCTGGGCATATGGAGGAGGGTCTTACTCTGGGGAGTCGTGTGGGTGGAAGCCCTGGTAATGATGTCTACAAGGATTAAAAATCAACAATCATAAAATACCTACAATATATTTCCAAATATTTGGAAATTAAAAACACATCTAAACAACTCATCACTTACACAGAAGAAATCAGGAGTGAAACTAGAAAATCCAGTAATTTCCCCCATATCCACAGTTTCCCTTTTCACGGTTTCAGTTACCTAACAGTCAACTGCAATCCGGATATTAAATGGGAAAATTCCAGAAGCAATTAGTAAGTTTCAAATTGCATGCTGCTCTGAGTAGTGTGAGGTCATCATACTGCTTTGTCCAGTGTGTCCACAATGCGTATGCAACCTGCCCGTTAGTCACTTAGTAGCATCTTGGTTATGCACCGTCACAGGACAACAGTGCTTGTGTTCAAGTAACCCTTACGTGATAGCCCAACACCACATCACAATGCCTTGGTCATTTGCCCCCTTTCATCCTGTCACATAGGCATTATACCTTCACACATCATGAAAAGAAGGGTGAATACATCACAATAAGATGGAAGAGAGAGAAGGACCACATTCATGCAACTTTTATTACACTATTCTGCCCTCATTGGTCTATTTTACTATAAGTTATTGTTATTAATTTCTTACTTGCCTAGCTTATAAATTAAACTTTACCATGAGTATATATGTATAGGAAAAACTACATATATTTGTATGTATAGGATTCACTACAATCTACAGTTTTAGGCATCCACTAGGGTCTTGGTTGTATCCCTGTGGATAGGAGGAAGAGTGACTGTGACTTCTAATTGTATGATAGTGAAAACACATGGCATCAAAGTTTCTGGAATGTAGCCAACAGCATGGAGAAAGAATTTTATAGCTTTAAAAGTTCATATTAGAAAAGAAAAAAGTTCAAAATCATGATCTGAGTTTCCACATTAAGAAGTTAGAACACCAACACACACAAAAAAAAAACAAGTTAAATAAATTAAAATGAAGTGAAAGAGTTATAAGAAACGAGTGAAATAGAAAACAAGAAATATAGAAAATTTAAAAAACCAAAAATGGTTCTTTGAAAACATTTACGGTCTTGACAAGGACCTAGAAATACTAACAGAGAAGGGAAACACAAATGATCAATAGAAGAAATAAAAAACTGACTAATGCTAGAGATCCCATAGATGTTACAATGAAAATAATTCGATATCATGAATACCTTTATATCAACAATTACATATCTTAGATAAAATGAAACACTTCTTGAAAAACACAACTTATGAAAATTATATCAAAAAGGAATAATATATATGAGTGTATTCTATATCTAAGAAATTTAATTTGTTATTAAAACCATCCCTCAGAGAAAATTCTAACCTGAGACAGTTTCCTGGGTAAGTCATACCAATTTTAAGGAATATCTGATACCCATCTGACACTATATCTTCTAAAAATAGCAGAAAGGAATTAATTTCATTGTAATTTATGAATCTGAAAGACTCCTGAAGGCAAACACAGAGACCTTACTAGGAAAGAGAACCATAGACCAATAGATGCAAAAGCCCACAGTAAAATCCTAGCACATGTTGAATCTGGCAATGTTTAAGGTCATGCACCATGATCAAGTGACATTTATTTGGAATAAAAAGTTATTGTGACATTTGAGAACCAATCTATGTGGTTGGCTACTTTAACAAGATAAATGGGAAAAAAATATATCATTACTCCAACACATGGCAAAATTTATACCTGTTCATGATCCATAAAGCAAATGATTTCCAGACAACAAGGAATAGAGGGGCACTCT